ATTAAATTGTGCTGAATATGCTAAACAGTACAAATTCAGGACGGAGTTTCTTTCAGATATGCAGGCTTAGTGACTCGTAGGTGGGTTTTGTGCTTGGTGCTGCTCTGCTGGGTCATTTCAGTGATCATCGCCTTCGGCCAGTTCATCGTTTCCAACTCTTCTGATACCTAGGGAGCTGCTGCGGACGACAATACGGCTGGACTGGGGATGGATGAATGGCCTGAAGCCAATTATACCAACCCTGCCCTCCCTCCCAAATGTCCCTACCCACAGGATCGCTCTGTAATCGGGCAGTTCTTGCCTTATGGAGGTTTTCTATCCAAGTTCCTGGTGGAGGACAATGAGAACTTCACATACGCGGAGATCCACGGCAGCCATTGGGGCATCTGTGCCCCCGACACCACACTCAGTCCAGTCTTCATGGTGTATGTTTATGCCGTCACTGTGTTTGGTATCCCTTTGTTGGTTCTGTTGGGTGTGTTTTTGGACTTGATGTGTTTCATGCCACAGCAGGTTCCTGCGAACTCCACGTTTTCTCATAAACTAAGCTCAGTGCAGTCTCGCTCATTGGCTCTCTCTATTTCTCTACTAGTAATGCTTTGCCTGCCCCTGCACATCACCCACGCTTTGTTACTTTTTGCCCCGAGCGCTGCTAGACCCAGCTGGACCTCACTGACGGCCTCTGTTCTCTTCCAGATGTATAGCCTAGTGCCCCCACTTCTCTTCACCAACACCTCTCAGCTGGTAGGCTTTGAGTGCACCTTGTTATCCGCGCCCTACCTGACCTCGAGTGTTATCTCCTCTCGAGTCAAATCTGTGGGGAGTGCTTTCTGTTCAGTGGATGATTTCAGTCACCCTGGACCGACACTGAAAGGCAAAGAGATGTGATGGGATGTCATGTGAAGAGGTCACTTACACCAAAAGTTATCTGTAGAGTCCTTGTCTGTAGAGGTTATATGAAATTATATTCAGCAGTTGAGTAAAACTAATCCAATACTAGCTCATGGCAGATGCCAGGCTTTCTGCAGTGTATTTGCATTAGGGTCGATCCATGTCATTTCAGATTGAGTTAAAGAAGTGTGTTGCTGCACAATGATTCTTTTCATACTTTTTTTGTGTTATTTGAAACCTAAATCTAAAGCATGAATAAAATGGTCATTTTTTGAGTCCCCTGAAATTATTATACACATACATGCCATGTTTCTCTAAAATGTACCCATTTAACTGTAGTCATTAGTAATTTTTAAATCGGCACATTTTTTATTCTCAATTAATTCTTTCCAACTGATGATTTCAAACTGTATTGTTATTTGTATTGTATATTCGTTATTCGTATAGAAGCCAATCTGATGGAATGTTTTCATGTCTAGGCTAATATTATCAAAGGTTTACACTACCCATTTCAATTTGAATTAAATTTCAATTGTATTTGGTCAGTTTATTCTAATTAACATAGTTACATTAAACATTTTCATTCAGCTAAATGAGTGCCTAAAAATGAGCAAAATATTGTACCGAACCTGACTAAAATATTAACATCTCACATTCTGCTCATGGACTTGCAAATTTGACAAAGCCAATCAAGACTTTGGTTTTAAGATCAAAACACATTTATTTGTATCCTTGGTGTTTTTATGATTAAGGCCCCAATACCACCCACATCTAAAAAGCTGTCACTTTTTTCCAACTTTAGGGGCCAATTATGAAAATACTTGAACTCAGCAGGGACACTGAACCGTTTGGATTCGAAGGAAACAAGTTTGTGTATGTATCTTCCAATTCCTGTGAGGCTAGCAATCATAATTCTTGAGTTATCATACCCTGAACATGGCTTCCCAGACAAGACCTTTTTTGGCTTGGAAATAATTAATTCTTCAGGGGGCTGAAAAATGATCAAATTGTTACAATATGCAAGCAATATTTTTCAGACCTTAGTTTCATGCAACCACCAACAAATAAGCAATCTATGAACAAAACTGGTGCAGTAATAAACCTTTCTGATTGAAGATGTAATGAATCATTAGAAAGCACTTTGTAAATTCCTGTTATGTGGCAAAAATGGTCCAATAAATATTCCACTGCTGCCATGTTTAATCCCAGTGATACTCCAGTATTAACTGTGAAATGATTCAAGCAACAATGTCAGAAGACTGTTATAGGAATACATCAATATGTTTGCATACTTATACATGATTAAATATAGTACATTAAAATGTGTCCCATCAATGTTCAAACCCAGCACAAGCTTTTGGTTTGATCTGAATGTTTAATTATAACAACTATAATAGCATATCAAGTGGAAGAGACTGTTTGAATGCATCGAGATAATTAACCACTCAATAACTCCCAGGGAAAACAGCTGTTTTGATTAAATGCGTACTTCTTATGTGCAGCCTGAATAAAAGCCGTTTCACACTAATTGGATTATTCTTTTTGCTCACTTGTGCCAGTGTTGGCGTAAGAAATGACTCCCTTTGTATCTGAATATTTGTGTTGTGATCTCCGTGTCTTCCTCTCCCTCCTTGCCATCTCACTCCCCCAATCCGCCCATTAAGTTTCAAGCATGAAATCCTCCATCTAATGTTACTGTCACTCACTTTGTCTTTGTATAGCCCCGACTTTGATTTGTCTAGCACTTTTTCCTTTCTTGATCATTGTCTTCAACTCATTTTCTTGCAAATGCCTTTCTCTCTTATTAAAGTCTGCACTAACCTCCAAAGCGGAGGTGATTTATTGAGTGAAGCTGGACTGCCCAAAAGGGAAAACAAGTAAAAGCTCTCCCTAACTGAGAGCTCATTTGATTGTTTTCTCCGCTCGAGAGCCTTTAGCTTCCTGCCGATATGACAATCTTTCATCACTAAAGTGGCTTCAGTCAATTCATCGCACCTGCTCTAGTCCATATCCTCTTCAATGGGGTCATTACAAGGAGCTTGGAAGCTTCAAATCTGTCACGCACAGAACGTAACCGTTTATCGTCCTTGGATAAAGCTGAATTCAAGTTTGATGCGCTGTTTGACCAGCATATGGTTTATTACCCATGGATCTGCCTTTGAGATGCCAGCCGAGCTCCTATAAACAAAATTGCAAGAGATTGATGAAGTTCAGATGAAGTCTATGGCTGTCATTTGAACTCCACGTTTGGAGTTTGTCGGCTCACTGAAGCGTTACTCGCTTTGCAGAAGACCCAAAATTTGCAACTGACCATGCTTTGTGAAGCATTTATACTTGTACTAAAAGAAAATTGCTAGCATAGGCTATGTCCTTCTTTATCTAAGGAGCTGCTCAAAGCGAGCAGAACAGCAGGTAACGCAGTGTGCGCTTTGATTGCCATGTGACAGTTACTGTTTATGACAGGCTTCTGCAGAGCCTCTCCATCAATAGAGTACAAACACATCGATCAGTCATCCTCCCCTCGACTTTTAAATGTAGACCCACCCCTCCCGGAGTGCTCAGCAAGTGACTTCTGACACAATTGTATATTGATTGCAGTGGAATAATGGAGGAGTCCTATTTTAATGCACCTGCTTTCTCTCTTCGGTGTCTGCTGCTCTTTTGACATAGGAGTCTTATGATTCATCATCTCAGTCACACAGCTTTCATCTCTGCTGGCAGCTTCTGCTAATTAAAATATCCTCTCCTTTTTCCTTGCTGCTCTCCTTTATTGCCACTGGTGAATCTTGATTGTGTCGGCTTCTCGAAGTCAGAAAATCAGTCTTTTACAGGAGATTCTTTTTTTATTTTGTCGTGCTTGGTATCTTTCCCCTATAAAGAAGTACAGTTAGCTATATCTACAGCGACGCAAAGACTACAAAATAAACAGGAAGTGGAAGAGGAGACGGACAATTAGAAGGAAAGACACAGAGGATCAAGAAGGACAGAAGAGAATGATAGAGGAAATAGAAAACTGGGTACACAGCTGTTTCTACTGGTAAAACTAAAGCATGGGAAGTATACAATTTATAACATTTACAATTATAATAACAGTAAGAATAATAATAATAACAATAACAACGATCATAATAGTCCAAATAATAATTCATAAAAACAATTAAGACCTCTGATATCTTTTAAAGACAAATGAAATACATATTTTTTTGAATTGTGAATTTTTTTTTAAAGATGACGTAACAGTAGTTTGTTCAGTTTTGCAGCTCTAAGCTAATATTCTGTGTTAGTACGATAGAATCGCTGGTAATGTGCACAAAAGTAAATGGGTTTTTTTTTTCTTAAAAGAGTAATTTAACTTACTTTGTAGACTTTTTCATACAAATAATGACTTTAGAGATATGTTTCATTGTGTAAGTGTTTTCGTGTTGAGCAATCAAAAAAAAAAAAAAAAAAAAAAAAAAAAACTTGCGTTACCTATATTGAAATTTCTTACATGTTCTCTACAAACTCCCTTCCTGTTTTTTCTCACCCAAGTCAAGCTACTCACGGTTTCACGTTTCCAGTGACTCTCTGCGATAATTAAGCCCCTTTTTACAGCGTCAGAGTGAGCGGTCCACTCCAATTCATTCCTCTCATAAAAGAGAACATGTCTGATCCCTTAATTATTAACAAACAATAGTGGAGAGATAGAGGAGGGAGAGGAAGGAGCATTGGAGAGCGAGAAACGGAGTCACTGAGAGAGAATCAAAACGGGAGAAACTTTTCTTCACAAGTCAACAGGTTTTGGCCAACATGAGCAGATAATGGAGTCGCCAGATGAAAAGCGCAGATGAATACTTTATGAGGATGGCTCTGAGCTCTCAGCGCTGTCGTTGGTGGATTTATTGTCTACCAGCTCAGTCTCTGAGGCCCAAATGCTCTGGCAAATGCAGGGAATTTCAATTTGCTCATATTGGGACATTCAATAGCTCATAAGCCCTTTGCGGCTTCCCACAGCGATGCTGTTTCACCCAGTTATGGATGAGCCTGTTTTGAATGGACACTTTTCTCTCCTGGTCCTACAATTATGGCTAGTTGTCTATTGTAAAAGCAAGTAAAAACAGAAACTCGGCTCTCTCGCTCTCCACCCCGCTCCATTATTGTCTCCATCCCCTCCTTCCCACTCCAGCTTCATATGGCACGATTGTGATTCCCTCTGGTTGTCGTTGTGGTGGTGTGTAGGTCTGTTTGGGAACAGTGTGTGTTGCGGTGTGCATTCTGCAGCGGTCCAGTGTTTCTGAAGAGCTCCACTAGGGCGGCGCTACAGTAGGTACTCCTTCTTGCCTTGGCTGGCATCATTACCATTGAGGAACGCCTCCTGTACCTCACCGTGTTCATCCAACCCACTGGCCTCGTGAGTCAAATATGAACCTAGAGAGAAAGAAAGACAATTTAAGCAGAATTAGGTTCATACTTCATTGCAGGAATTAAAAGAACAGCAACAACAACAAAAAACATATTAAATCACTTGCTGAGTGCAATTAGATATATTTTCTATTGAAACAGGACGCTGAAGAGATTGTGCTTTTTGTTGTCTTAATTATTGTCTCTTCCTGTTTTGATTTTCATCCAGTAGAGGACTGGGGCTAGTTGATATTTAATTATTAACATTTAAAATATATGCGACAACCCCAGTAAAAAATGTGGTAAGCCGCTTCTACCTGACATTTATGAAAAATGCCTGTGTCGTGGTTAGCCTTTCAGTTCAAATCACCTATTATTATAAAGATGACTGAATGCGTATTAGTGTGATTTTAGTTCACTTTTTTAATCAACAACATTTATTAACAGCAGAATTCACAAAAATAATTCAAATTAAAGAGGTGTTTGAACCATCATACAAACGCACTGCAAAAGAAAACATATTTGCAATTGGAATTTTGAAGAAAACCCTGACTGAAATACTTCCCAGCATCAGTTAATTAGTAACTTAAGCTTTTGTAATTTTTATTCGTTTTTAGTTATTTCTATTGAGCTTTATATTTATTTCCGTTTTGGTTTTAGCAATTTTAGTACTTAAACTTCAGTTAGTTGCCAAAGCAACATTTCTATTTTTTTAAGGCTTCATGTTAATATTTATAATTTATTTAATTTCAGCTTTATTTCAATAAACAAAATGATTTTAAATAGTTTCAGTTTTACTTAACAATAACAACACTGCCCCCCATGACACCTAGCCCTGGTGCTGCTCCGTATATTTTTTAATGGATTCTCAGTGTATTCTCATTTGTATGCACAACAGTCAATATAACTTCCGCATGTTCCCCTCCATCTATACCCGAGTGTCCTCAATCTAAACTGTCCCCTGGGGATTCATGCTGCTGTATTAGATCGCACACATCTAAACATTCATCATCAAGGTTCTGCCAGTTACAGCTTCTTTTGCAGGGCCAGCAAAAGTCATCTACTGTAATTGGAGGGAACTTATGCAGATCAACTTTTAATTATTCACAAAATTCATTAGGAATAATAACCTCTGACATTTTACTGCACACTCAGCGATTTGGTACAGTGTGACCTTTTTATTCACATCATTATATGACACAATGGTTTTGCCTCTGTGGCTGGGGGACAAATAACTGAAATTACTCGGGCAGAAGTGACTCTGTGGCACCAGCATGACACCGTTTAATTAAAAAAATCGATCTTATGTACATGCAATTTTGCTTTCCGACATTGCAAGAGGCTGATTGGGCCATTAAAAATAGTGATGTCGTGGACCGCGCAGGACCAGCACAGTGTTCCTCTTCCTCTGCCCTAAGATTAATCACTTCCATTCTGCCTTTCCAGCCACCCCAAGGTTAGACAGGATCAACCCTAATGCTCTCTGTCTCTGCGCCGATGGGTGAACTAACCACATCTGACTTTGGCAGGTGAGCTCGGGTTCCTCCCCACCCTCTGCCTCCGCCCCAATTTGCGGGTGCAGTGATCTTTATTGGAAATGGTAACACACAGAGATGGCCAGAAGTTCTTAAAGAGTTCAGGGACGAGGTAATTTAATTTTCTTTATAGATGCACCGCGATACGGTTGACGAAAAAAGGCAATTAAACACAAGTACTTTCTTTCTTTCTCCATTTTCTCATCTGAACACTTAAACATTCTATGTGCCCTCAGGAACACCCAAAAAAAAAAAATCTATACAAAATAAACACCTACACCAACTATTCTCAACTATTCTCTCCTCCCGTTTTTTTATTCTCCACCTTAGGGGTGGGCGGCATGATCAAAATCTACAACAGGATCACTAGTGCAATATTGGTTTTATAGAACAGTTCCATAACCAAAAATTTTATATCAAATAACCTACATTTCAGACTAAATTTGACCAGTTTTGACCTCTTTTTTCCCCACCAACAGACAAAAGAAGCCAAAAGATTAAATGCTATTTAGGAACAAAGTAAAAGTAATATTTTAACTAAAACACTACGCTCAAAACTTTGTGGTTGTAAGATTTTCACCATGGCTGCATTTATTTGATCAAAAATACAGTAAAAACTGTAATGTTGTGAAATATTATTACAATTTTAAATAGCTGTTTATACATTTAAAAAGTAATTTATTCCTGTGATGGCAAAGCTGAATTCTCAGTAGCCATTAATCCAGTCTTTAGTGTCACATGATCCTTCACAAATCATTCTAATATGCTGATTTGCTGCTTATAAACATTTATTATTATTATTATCAAAGCTGAAAACAGTTGTGCTGCTTAAGGAATGACATTTATTAGAAACAGAAATCTTTTATTAACAATAAAAATGTCTTTACTGTCTCTTTTGATCAAATTAATGTATCCTTGCTGAATTATAAGTATTATTTATTTATTATAAATAAAATTTAAAATAAAATTTAAATCTCATCTCGGAGAGGTGAGGTGTCCAAGTCACAACATCTAACTACTGTGAGTATTAACCCAACTCCAACCACTGAATCTAATGAGAGCCATAGAAGTATAGAGGACACATACACATTAATAGTGTAATAACAACATTTACTTATAAACCAAAAGAGAATACTACAGAGCAGGTATTCCAAAACATTTGAAACGTTCTAACAGAAACAGTCAAACTTATGTGTGAATGTGGGTGAGAAAGTAAGTTTGTGTGTGTGTGTGAGGGAGGGAGTGTATTGAATGAGTGTGTGTGTGTAGCCTGTGGAGTACATTGCAGAGGTCTCTTTAGCTACTGATGCCTTTAAGCACAACAAGTTTTTCAAAAAGCGTAGTATTTAGGCATCGTCGATGGGGCCGGTTGATCAGTCCAGCAAAGGAAAATAAACGCTCTACTGGAGCTGAGGATGGGATGATCATGTTAAACCTCACAAAAAAAGGTGCTTGGGGATACTGGGGATACTGCTCCAAAGATGTCAAATCCCTCCTTTTGACAGTCAATGAGCACGTTTACATGCACACCAGTAAGCTGATAACTCACAAATATCAGCTTATTAAAATAACCAGTTTTCCCGCAATTAAGTGCTTTTTACCTTTCTTATATATAGCTTTTTATTCCAAAATGTAAATATTTATACAAATTATATAAAAAATTCTGTATGACATTGCTTCTTGTCCACATATCCACAGATACTTATGAAGAAATCATAAAAATAAGTTGTTCTAGCATGTATTCACCACTAGGAGTCTCTAGACCAACACAAAAGAACGCATTTTTAAACATTGCTATATTTTGGGCTAATTTAACTAACATAAACAATATTTGTAATTTTTTTATTTTGGAGTTGTAATATTTAGTTTTATAGTTTAATATATAGAATAAAAAGTGTTTTTACGCTCTTTAATTTGTACTGAGATAATTCGGCAGTAGTGGCATATATGAATCAATGATATTTTCCTCTTTAATATTTGCCGCAAGAAATAAACATGAATATTTGAATGCATGTTAAAAAAATCTGAACAATTTAATACAAACGAAAGTCTCATGAAATCGATCAGTCAGAGTTTAAAAAAACGTGGCATTAATGCCGCTGTAGGCTATTTGTACTGAATGCAAACACAATTTTGGCACAGCGGCCAAATAAACAAACAAACAAACAACAACAAAAAAAGTAAAAAATAAATTAAAATAATAATAAAAAATAGTGAGGGGATATTTGAATTATTTGTTTGCAAACACAATTTTGGCACAGCAGCCAAAAAAACAAACAAACAACAACCAAAAAAGTAAAAAAAACAAATAAAAATATAATAAATAGTGAGGGGATATTTGAATTATTTGTTAATAAACTAGTGTTTTCTGAGTCAGTGTCACAAAGATGAAGCTGCTGATCCTGACTCGATATCTCCTTAACTGGACCCGCATTTAGAGAGAAATTACATAACGAAAGAGTTTTTGTTTTCGATTTGAATTATTTCGTTTTAAAGTAGTAATTTAAAGCATTTTATATATATGTTTATCATGTCTATGAGGCAAGTATTCGCTGAGTTTCGGTTCATTTTTGTGAAGCCCTCCTGCTCAAGTCAGAGACATGCCCATCCTGTTGGTTTTCCTGTTTGTTTGTTTTTACAAAATTTGTTTTTTTTAACGTGATATTGATACTGTGAGTGCACAATTTTTTGCAGTTCCGAATGATGTATACTCTTACCTTTATGAGCAAAAATGACAGCTTATTTTTAAGTTACCACTGTTATTAAGGGGGGGATTGCGCTTGAAAAAAAAGAGAGAGCTCACGCTGGCGCCTCCATGTCCAGCAAAGCGCGCTTCAGCTTCGACTCTCGGCACAAACGATCAGGGGTGCGTTTCCCAAAACGACGGAACTTGCGACCATAGTTGCTTTTGGGAAACCCACCCCAGATATGCGCTTAATAGCGCACATTTATCTAGGTTAAATTTTTTAATTAATATGGTGAAAAGCATGAAGTGTTTTTTTTTATCCATAGATTTTATTTTAGGCAAGTCGTGTTGAATTGAGAAGGCTAAATTGATCAAACATATGCTCATCGCGCTTCTTGCCGCTGGCCGCTTGGTCGTTCCTTTAAAAAACAAAAACTTGAATTTAACAAACATAGAATGTTCCAAACATATTTCTAAATTACATTAATAAAGAAACGAAAAGAAATATGACCACTTTGCCATTAAGGGTGTATTCACACCTGTCTTGTTTGGTCAGATTGAATCGAACTCAAGTTCGTTTCCCCTCTTGGTGCGGACCTTTTTGGCAGGTGTGAGTACAGCAATCGTACTCGGGTGCGGAGCAAACAACCGTACCGAGACCCAGCTGAAGAGGTGGTCTCGGTCCGCTTCCAAACGAACTCTGCTACGGTTCATTTAAGGGGTGAATATGATACTTATTTCATAATATCACACAAAGAGTGATTCCCCCCCATCCCCATAAATAAAAAAGAATTGAATATTAACAGACTTCTGTTTTAGACACTAGATTGCCTGTTTTTGCTCTATTTCGCCAATAAAAAACTAATTCCAAACCACAGTGCTGTTTTGCATCTCTGAGCAACATAACAGTCTTTCATTCCTGAATGTATCAACTCTTTAAATGAGCAATTACTCACTTATTAATAGTGACTTGTTGCCACCTACTGGTGGTTTTAAGTTCACATTTAAAGTACCTTTTCATTTTTTTTTTATTATTATTTTCAAATATCAGTAGGCTATTCAACATATTAGGATTAAAATATCAAAACATTATTTCCGCATGTGTAACTGCAGGTTAAAGCATTCATGTCCTGCATTAAACAGTGTGTAAAAGCATCTAAATGCCTCTTCAGATGCAGCTTCTGTGTTTCCTCTGCATTGCAAAGATGAATTTTGTTTATAATGATTTTATTGATTTGGTAACAGCCCCAAATGTCTTATTATTCTAAATCACTTTATTGATTAAATATAAGAATTTGACGCAAAAGATAATGCACACTTCTAGAAAAAAGATAAAAATCTGAACATTAATCAAGCATAATGTATTTTTCTATCATTTTATTATTATTTTACCGCAACGGTCTCAGATCTAGCAGACGATTGCGATCGACGGGTTGGCATCACTGATGTGCTGTAGGCTACATTAAAAATTTAAAAGATAAAAACACAATAACCCCCAAATGTAAAAAAATTCAAAAAGGATTTAAAAAAACTAAACGACATGAGTATACCTATAAGCAACAAAATCTTCCCTAAAGGATGCCTTTAGGATACATTTGTTATTTATGTTATAGACTTTTTATACTTTTTTATGTTATCTTTATACTTTTACAAGTGTAATGAAAAAAAATGTCTAAAAAATGCTATATTATTATATATGAATATATTTCTATTTAATACATAATTAATGTATGTCTTAAAATGAATGGATTAAATAGCAAAAAAATGAAGACGTCAGTGAGACGTTCAGTGAGACGAGTGCATGTTGCAACGTCATATTAAAGAATCCGTCCGAACACCATACGGACAAAATACGCACCACAGACGGAGTGCGTGAACCTGGCGTTACGTTTGTATGCCCGCCCGGTCTGTTCTGTTCTCGTGCTCCATTTAGGCGCGCTGCATTCCGATTGGTTCGGATAGCATACTGCGGGAGGTCGGGGGCGCGGAAAATCGTGCTAAAAAGCGATTTAGAAATCGTGCACGCTCAAATCGCGATTTTATTACAATTTCGATTAATCGCACAGCCCTACTAAAAAGCCAAAGGAACGAAACTGACTGCAATTGAGATCTCCTAAAGCAGGGGTGTCCCACCCTGCTCCTGGAGAGCTACCATCCTGCAGATTTTAGCTCTAACCCCAATCAAACACACCTGAACCAGCTAATCAAGGTGTTCAGGGTTGCTTGATAAT